TGGCTACCTAATATGAGACTAGTGTATAAAATGTGAATAAAATTTAATATAAAGGAAAGGTGTGCTGATTTAAAGCTGCGGTTCAAAATATGTTACAATTCCATTTCAACAATCCACATCTACATACAGTTGCGGTCATTAATTTCCGGTCACTTTTAGAACAGTATAACTTTTTCCAAACTGGACCAAACGACTTGAGTTTTTTTTTTCAGAAGTTAGAGGGACCAGTACACTAGATGACGTGTACAAAAAAATGAAAAAAAAATTGTAATTTGTGGGAATCGCGAATAAAATTGCAAAGGTCACTGTTTACAGCTTTTTCATCTAAGCACGTAATGAAAAATTAAAAAATACGTTTTGTAGATTTATGTCAATTATATACAGGCTGAAAATTTCATCGAAATCGGTTCACGATGCTACGAGCTACAAACGGTTGAAAATTGTGGAAATCACTGTTTTTCACGGCTTTCGGCATATAATTGCAATAGATCTAAAGATTCTTACATCTTTCGATACCTGTCGCTTGCTTCTGCATCATCCGATTTCGAAATTTTCAGCATGTATACAATTGACATAAATCTACAGAACGTATATTTTAAATTTTCACAACAGGCTCAGCTAAAAAAAAGTTGTAAACAGTGACCTTTACAATTTTCTTCGCGATTCCCACAAATTGCAATTTTTCCGAAACTTCCGGTACACGTCATCTAGTAAACTAATCCTTCTAACTTCTCAAAAAAAAAAAAAAAAAAAAAAACTCAAGTCATTTGGTCCAATTTCAAAAAAGTTATAATGTTCTAAAGCCTGGGTATCCAACCTTTCGATTTTCCTGGGCCATACGAAATATACAATACAGTTAATTGGGCATAAGTAACAAAACCTCCTTTATTTTTTAATATTTTTCATTGTAATGCAATTGAGTCGTGAAAAATATCGCTAAAAATCACATAATAATGTTAAAAGTTTACGATATTGTGCTGCTCAGGGCCACATTGCGGCCCGCGGGCCGCAGGTTGGACACGCCTGTTCTAAAGAGTGTCCGAATATTAGCGCGAGTCGTTGTACATCAGAATCCATCTCAATCACTAATCACTCCTCATCCATCAGGTCGTACAATACACCTATTACAACTCTCTTCAACAGTCCGTATCTGTATCAAGACCTATTTCAACCAGCGATCACTCCTCGTCCACTGGGTGATCGAAATGTAAGGCAGCAGAAGGCTGCTTAAAGTCGTTCCACTTTAACCAGAAGAACATTTGCCGGCACATCGATTCCTGGCACCCGGGATTCGTATGCACGTGCAGGCTTACTTGAACTTGCCCCCCTGCCCTCGCGAATGCACTTCCGTTTCCACGACGACAATATAACGTGCGGAAAGAGACAGAGAGCGACGATGAGAACCTGTCGCTACCACAGCACTCGACCCACTTTTACCGCGTTTTGATTACACTCGATAACGCCGCGACCTGTTACCACCGCTAACTGCGCGGCAAACCTGCCCTCCCTCGCTCATTCGAGGATCGCCTTTTTGCGTTCTCTTCACCCCGGGGAATGCATTATACGCACATCTGTCGTCCGTAAATATTAGGTCACCCGTTACGTTCGTACAGAAAGTGCTAGGTTTGTTTTACATTCGATAAGTGTCCTAGTATACGTATATACCTACGAATGGATTCATCTCCAATGAATTCCACTGCTCTGAGGACGTTCTTCTATCTAATGAAACGCGCATATAATTGATTTGCTAGGGTCTTTTTAACGAGCCCGGAATCCTTTTGAACACTGAAATCACCTTCGCTGCAACTTTCTTTTCAAAACTTTCTTTCCATTCGTCTCTTTCTCGGAGCCTCTCCTCTGATTCGAGGGAAGGAAATTTCTGGTGTCACTGGTTTATCGGAGCTTCACTGAGTGGACTGTGAATCGAGTCAAGGTGTCTTCACGTTTTCTTGGAATCCGGGTTAACATTGATAACAAGTGACAGCAGGCTTTGTGAAGCTGTTTGACATAATTGATTAGAAGATTCGAACTGTTTCCATCTATCCCGTCTAGAATTTCAGTTAGGCAGATATTAGGTCCGCATTAGGCTAGCCTAATTTGCCTGTTAGGCCCCAATCTAACAGCCCCGTCAGGTCCGCATGCGGTATGTAACGCGGAATATTCGCGACTACCTAATTCGGAAAACCACATTAGGCTCTCCCAATGACTATCCAACGAGGCCAACCGCATTAGGCCCATATTAGAATAGCTTTATTAGGCTGTTATTGGGAGACATTAATGAAATCTCACGAGGAATACCTCATCAAGACACTGTATGGATTAAATTGTAAAAACTTTTATCTTGTTGAAAGCTCTCACGCAAGCGTACGTCCGACACTGAGATGTCTGTAAATATTCCTACATTTGAGAACCCCACTCCACCTAATTTAGGTGTGCGCTCGGCCACGCATGGCAACTGTTAGGAATGCCCAACCTAAGCGTGCG